TCATGATTCAAGGGTATGTGAGCAGCTGTTTTTCAGTATAGACTTGTTGGCATTAGGATTTGTCCAACTTGATGTGGAGAGAGTTGTTGCTGTGAATTTATTTTTCTTCAGTACTAAATACTTGCAAAACTGTTGGATCAGCTGTTGTGTTTGTTGATGAATTCAGCTCCTCTGTATGGAATTACTGCCACTTGTTTCTGATCCTGGTCTGGCAGCTAATAAAAAGAGAGAGAAAAAACCCAAGAGGTCTGTGACCACTTCAGTCTCGAAGTAGAAATCTCTTTAGATAAGACCACATGCTTGTGTCACTTGCTATTTTCAGTTGCTTGTCTCTGGATGCTGCCATTTTCACAAGAATAGCGATGCAGTTAATGGTAGCTGCTCTTTATGGAAACTGCTTTTAGTATCAGTATTAAAGCCTGCATGTTGTTGAACCAGCTACCAACCGCTGCAGCCAAAACTGTGTTTTCTCCTCACAACTGCTTTCAGGCTTCTGTGTCTTCAGAAATAAACTATGTAATATGTGCAATACTTGTTGCCCCTATCCGTTTGTGGTTTTGTTTGTTTGTTTGTTTGTTTTTGTTTGGTTTTTGTTGTGTGCGTGGGTTTGTTGGCTGTGTTTTGTTTTTTTTTCCTTTTTTTTTTTGATGGTGTGTGTGTTTGGTTTTGTGTGGGTTTTTTTTCCCTTTCCTTTTAAGATGTCTGTTTTCCACAAGGTTGTTTCTTGGAGTACTCACCTGTTAAATGAAATAAGTCTCTGACTTGTTCTGCTCCCTTGCCAATTTTCTGTATGCCATCTAGCTTAAAATATCTTACCATAAATGAGAATTATTAAGGATCATTCTGGTTTTCCTTCAGCTGTCCTTGTTGATGTAGTTTTATTATGTCAACTTATAATTGCAACTGACCTGTTCCTCTGTAAAGGATATTCACCCTTCGATGGTATCTTGGATCCCACTGCGTGTGCTTTGCTGGTAATAACTGCAGTTACTCTGAATGCATAGTCTTTTCAGTGTGTAGATTCTTTTGAATTTTATTTTATTTTTTTGCTTTTCAACTGAAAGATTGCTGTGTCTATGTGACACTGACCCTGATCTGCCTTTTCTTTTTCTGTGGTTTGTCTGCCCTTTTTAGACAGTCCTGTATGGAGCAGTATGTCAGCTGACATTGGCAAAAGGTTTCTGTTTTTATCAGCTGAAATGCAATACTAGGAGGCAGGATGTTATGATGTAATGAAAAATCTCTATGCATACAGTGTAATGTCTCTGCCTGCTTCAGATGCTCTATATCGAACTTTTCCATAGTGAAAGACCTTTACTCATGTTTATTCTATTCTCTAAATTCAGTTTTGGGTTTTTTTTTTCATGCACTGTGCCAACAGCTTTTTTAAATCCCTTGATCAGTTGAACCTTCAAGGTAGCTCTCTTCACATGTGCTAATGGTAAACTTTCATCCCTACTTGGGACAGTATTGCATCAAGTCTACCCATCTGACTATTTTGTGCTAATAAAATGAACTGTTGATATACTCTGATTTGGAATGTTGTTCTGATGTATCAGCATGGCTGGTGTTACTGAACGCACAGCCCACATAAACACCTAATAGTCTAAAGACTTTCCTTGTCATAGGAATAATCACATTTATAAAAACATTTACGCTTCTGAAACGGTATCTGTGCTGTGCTGGCGTTTTTCCACATGTAAACGCTGTTTGTTCCGGCTCTCAGCTTCTCCTGAAGTGCACTCTGAAGGGAAGACAGGAAAGGAAGAAAAATACCAATAAGACAAAAATTCCAAGTTCTCAGTTTGGTAAAGGATCCCATGTTAGGTGGGTTAATAACCTTAATACAAGACAAGGTAGGGCCTGTGAAGATTAGCACTGTTGCTAGCTAATGTCAAGATTAAGATGACCCTACCATTGTTTCCAAGCTGTGATAGAAAGGAGACCCTTTTCACCTATCCATTTTTTACTATATTAAAGTTTATGTTAGATTATAATGGGAAGGCATTGAGAGGTTTGAGAAGAAATTATCAAAGGTTTCAAGAGTATCTCCCAAAAGGAGCAGTGATAAAATCACCTAGCCCTAGTGCTTACTGCTAATTTTAGTCAATTACATCAGTAATTTAATGGAGTATAATCTAAAGACATAACCATCAGCAGAAAAGTCTTCTGCAATTGTAACCAAGTGTTTATGGAAGTGTTGATAACTAATTTTTCTGTAATGCTGGTTCTAATAACTAGGATTAGTTTGCTCTACTCCTACTATATTGGATTTGGTAAATTATGATATAGTCTTCCTGAGGTGTCTATAGTCTTTGATTATTTCCATCAGATCTTTTTGGGTTACAGAGCTAACTCTGTCTGCGTTGTGTCATGCTGAGAGTGGAAACCTTTTTGTTAAGGAGGTTAAAACCTACTTCTGTGAAAACTAGTTTTTGAAAAACAGTCTTGATATCTTGAGAAATACTTACCAAGTTGAGTAGAATTTTATTTTCATTTAAAGAATCCTGTGGATATCTTTGCAGAATTAGGAGCAAGTCTGTCTTACATTTGTAAAATATTGTGACTTATTTTTCAGAGAAGACTCCTAGAAGAATAGTGTATTGGTTTTGAAAATGATAGAGAGTCTCATGAATTTTCATCCTCTGCCTTCTGTGATTTGGAGCAGGCTCTTTACCCATATCTTCTCCCCTTCAGACACATACCTGAAATAGCAGACTGTAGAGCTCATACTTGCTACAGTGATGAGGGACTGTCCAAATTGGAAAGTTTGTGGAGAGATTGAGTATTTAAAGTACCTTGGGGAAGAAACTAGAATTAGGTCTTCTATCTCCTGATATTCAGCAGGGAGAGGATTTTGAACCAGTATCTTGTATCCTGGAAAAATCTTCTGTTGTGTTGTATGGGATATGGACAGCATTATGCAAATACCTTTTTTTTCCTGAGTTCAATAACAGTATTCATGTTCCATATTAATTAAATTTTGCTTTTCTCTCTACATCTTTAAAAAGTGATGAAGAGAGCACAAAGCCAAGAAGGGAAACTATTCAGGTTAATTCAAGTTCTTTTACCAAAAACAGCATTGTATTTTAAAACTAGCTAAAACAAACAAAGAAAGAAACAAACAAAAAACCCAACAACCAAAAAGGTAGTTAGAAACAAACCCAAAATTTACTGTAGTTTTACTTGGTTGGCAAAATTACGCAACTTTGTGTTTTAAAATTGCTTCCTGCACTACTTTGATTTTTGGGTGTCTGCTAGTGGAAAATGCTGTCATTAAATTCTAGCAGCAGGCAGTGTTGTATAAAAGTATTCCTGTTTATTGTTAAAGTATAAGTACTTAGATTTTATGGCACTAATGGAACAATTTTTGAGGTTTATTTCCTGGTGTGTTTTGTTCTTTGCTCTGACATATTTTTAATATTAGTTATTATGTGTGTTCTCTCTTCCTCCCAAGACTTTTTATGATCTGCCTAAACCATCCTTCTTTCTTGTCTTCTAGTACTTCTGTTATGTTTGTGAAGTTAACGGGCATGCTAATTCTTGTGGTTGCCCTAGAGTGTCTAGAAGTGACAGAATGATTGCTTGATCTTCAGCCCTCTTTGTGGCAATTTAAATTATCTCCTGAAAATTCAGGTGCCATATTTGATAGAATTTGTTATGAAAAATAACTTTGAAATTTCCTTAATCTTTGAAAACAAACAGAGGAAGTGCTGTTGTTTTAGGTGATTAAAGCATTGCAAGGCTGTTTAATTGAAAGTATTTATGTAGGCTGTCAAGAAGTAAGGAATAAATTGAATTGCTTTCCCGAAAAGCTGTTTGTCCTAATACCTTAATTCATAATATTTCCTAGATGTGTTAGAGTAGCACCTCTTCAGTATGGCTTTATGATATCTGAAGAATATCAGGAAGATTTTGGTAGAGGGGAAAATGAATATGAAAGAAAAACAAAACTTCTGCAATAATCTGGTCTACTGAAGCCTGAGGGGCAGAAAAACCAATGAAAGAAATAGATATATATAATATTATTTCATTATAGGAAAAGGAGTTAAATATACTAAGTTTTTAGTTTGTAAGTTTTCAGATTATACGGTACAGTTATTCAAAATATCTGTTTTTGTTGAAACTTTATATTTGTTTATAGTTTCAAGTATTTTTGGTACTTAAGCAGTTTGAATATGCGTACATAATTTATTTTAATCATTTAGAGGGAACCACAGGAAAGAGCAAGAGACAATCAAGTACTGCATTGTTCAAAACCTAGGAGGCTGTCCTCCCTTTGCATCTCCAGCAAATCCAGGTAGTTTTAAGATTGACTGCAGTAGGGTGTTATCCTAAATAGTTTTTCACATGTAATGAAGAGTATCATATTTCAATTTTTTTCAGTTGAATGCCCTTTCAGATTTTGCTTTTTAGGAGAAAATGCTTATCTTTTATCCATGCGAACCTGCTATTCCTCAGGTTTTCTTGGGCAAGGGCTTTAATCTCTAGGTAAAAGACTCTAAGCCATAAGGTGGTTGATAACCTGTTGAAGGTCTGGGTGAAGAATGTGCATCTAAAAAGTCATATTTTGTTAGAGGAAATTCTGGTGTTTGTGTTAGGGTGTGAATCTGGCTGGATAGCTTGGCTACTGGGTTGGGTCTTCTTGTGTGTAACTTCTTAAGTTGATACAGAAAATGTTTATACTTGGGAAGACTGAAATTAATGTTTAACTTTATCTAGAAGTGAAGCAGGCATTTGTACATGTGTGAATTTGTAGAAGACAGTGTCATAAAATGCATATGAGGCTGCTTCTTGCAAAAGCTTCATTTTCTTTCTAGTATTTGTACAGTAGTATTACTGAAATTGATTTAATAAAGCTTTTTCAAAGTTAGTGAAAGTACAGTTCAGTTAAATACTCTCCCTCTCCCTTCTCCAACATCCTCCATTCCATCCCCTCCATGATCCATTTCCCCCCTTTTTTCTGTTCTTCTTTCTCTTCTTTCTCCATTCACTGTCAGGAAGGGATGCCTCAGAAGAGTCATTTCAACTCAGCACGCCACCGTCAGAGACTAGTGGAACCATCAGCTACAAAAGTGAGTGCCTTTATTGAGGGACCATTTCTAAAACGGGATGTTGTGTCAGCAGAGGATTTGTTGCTAAAGAGAAGCTCTTCGATGTGCTGTATCACTCTGCAAGTGATACAATCAATGTCTCTAAGGCTGAACTTCAGCACTAAATTAATTCATACTCAAGTGTAGCTGTTGTTTTTTAACTTTAAAAAGTTGGGATGAAATTTCTTTTGTGTCTGCAAAGTGAAACAGAAACTGTATGAAATGTTCCACTTTGATTTTATTACTTTGTGTGATGTCTTTTCCTAAATACATGTGGAATTCATTTGTCTCATTCTTAAACAAAAAGCTGTCATTGAATAAAAAAATTGGCAAGGATATGGAAAATAACCAAACACTTATTATCAAGCATTACAAAGCAATACAAAGATGATATTAGCAGATAAAACAGTATTTGTTAGTTCATAAAGCTGTTCAGCCTTTCTAGAGATGTACTCAGAAAGCTTGATAGGTTCAGTGAAAGTGATGTTATTATGGAACTTTTAAAATGTCCTATAATGTGTATTTTAGAGGTCAGCGTTGAACTGTATTTATTTTTTGCTACTTTTTGTGAGAGTCCAGCAAGAATAAAACTCTGTATCCATTGCTACTACCTTCCAGAAATCCCATTCTTCACTTTCTTTGAGATACTTGCAGAATTGATTGCAGTATTTACATGTAACTTTCGATGCAGGATGAAGTAGATCAATAGTAGTAGTTGGTCTTGAAAGAAAAGCCCTCATTTTATGTTGTGTCTTGCATTCTAAATTAGGACTCCAGACACTTCTTAGACTGATTCTTTCTGTTGCTAAATGTGTTGACTCATTAGGTATTAATTATATTGACTTTTACTGTTCGTTTCAACATGTCAATACTAAAATATCCTTTTGAGGATTTAGGGAAGGGCATTTTGGGGACTGCAGAAGCAAATGTAAGTCAAATATCTGTCTGTCTGTCTGTCTATCTATCTGCCCATTCTCTTGATAAGCCGCTTTCTCTGTGCATTAATGCACATTGGAATCACTCCAAGTAGTTCTCTCAATGTGTAGAGCCAAATGAAAAATGCATACTGAAGTGTAGTTCTATCAACATAACTGCGCTAGCTTTTGCTCCCTCCTCTTACCTAGTTTTCCTGAAGTTTTTCACCATGCCCCGGTGTCCTACTGTGCCTCTGGGTGCACCTTGTCAAAGGTAGGTGTGCTGTCAAAATCTCAATCTACAGCTTGAGATCTGTAGAATCTCAGTTTCCATAACCTCCATAATCTCAATCTCGTAGCTACAGACCAGCCTATTCAGTTATTTGCACTTCTGTTTTGTTTGGGACAGAAGGATCAGAAGTGGTCTTGGTTGGTGTTTCCAGGATGCTTTAGTCAGTGTCTTTGCTACTTGGGGGGACATCCTGATGCAGTGGGAGCAAGTCAGTTAGCAGCTCAGCACTGCTGGATACCAGCCCAGCATCCAGAGGCGGGCTGTTACGACTGACCACATCATACTCCACCTCTCCCCCTACAATAATTGGCAGCAGTTTCAGAATGACCATCTGCTTAGGAAAGACTCCTGAGCATGTCATAGGCACATAGATGTGGTTGAGTGTTTTGTTGTGATTAAAATGTGTCTGAAGAGAGAAGGGAAGGGAAGAGAAAGAAGGCAAACAAGCAGCACTGCTTCAGTGCCAGTAGTGTGGGATAGAAAAAAAGTGTAAGTTCAGTGGTCTTCAGGTTACACACATAATCTCTTCCATCACTGTATAGGCAAGAGAGTGGTTAAAACCCCAGACCGTAGTCTTCTAAGTCCTCTTCTTGGATGGCATTTCACTGAATGGGCGGTACTTCAACATGGCAAGCCTATAAAACTAACAGGCACCTTTACCCGTCTCTGCTGACAGCCATCCCTTCCCTCTTGTCCGGTACACATTTATTAGTGAACAATAGGTGCCATACTTTGTGTCGTAGATACACACGCCTTTTTTTCTCACCCACCACCCTTGCTATGTTCCTGGAAGCAACTACTACAGCTGAAAGGATTGTGTGTGCCTGGTCTGATTGAGGTAACTTGAGGTATTAATTTCTGCATGTTTCCTGCTCCTTCCTGCGTGCCTTTCATAGAATCATAGAATCAGTCGGGTTGGAAAAGACCTCAGAGATCATCAAGTCCAACCCTTGATCCAACACTGCCGTGGTTACTAGACCATGGCACTAACTGCCCCATTCAGTTTCATCTTAAAAACCTCCAGGGACAGAGCATCCACAACTTCCTAGGCAGCCTATTCCAATGCCTGATTACCCTTTCTGAAAAGACTTTCTTCCTAATATCTAACCTAAACCTCCCCTGGGACAGCTTAAGACCGTGCCTTCTTGCCTTGCTGATAACTGCCTGGGAGAAGCGACCAACCCCCACTGGGCTACAACCTCCTTTCAAGTGATTGTAGAGAGTGATGAGGTCTCCCCTGAGCCTCCTCTTCTCCAGGCTAAACAATCCCAGCTCCCTCAGCCTCTCCTCAGAGGACTTGTGTTTGAGTCCCTTCACCAGCTTTGTTGCTCTTCTCTGGACCTGCTCCAGCACCTCAATATCCTTCCTGAACTGAGGGACCCAGAGTACTCCAGGTGTGGCCTCACTAGTGCTGAGTACAGGGGAAGAATCAACTTCCCTGGTCCTGCTGGCCACACTGTTCCTGACATAGGCCAGGATCCATTGGCCTTCTTGGCCACCTGGGCACACTACTGGCTTGTGGTGGTTTGGACCTTGGTTTTTCCCCCAGAGGCTGAAAAAGTGGTAGACCTCAAGGGGTGGAAACCCCTGGAAGTTTTGAAGTTTTGCCCAATGGGCGCTCCTGCAAAAATGTAAACATATCACAAGCTCACCGGAAGAGATGAGTTGTAGTTTGGGTTGTTGTTGGAGAGGTGACCATGTTGTAGAGCCACGAGGAAGGGGCTT